GCTTGTTCTGCAGTTTATGTAGTTTTGTGTTTCTGTGGTAGGTCACCAGGAAATGCCATGAATGCCAATGGAAGCGATACTGGAGCTCCCTAAGGTTATTTTGTATCTTAACTTTTGTGTTTTTTCTTCTAGCTTCATGGAGGAAAAAGAGTGATGGAATGCCTGAAGAAGGCTCTGAAGATAGCAAATCAGTGCATGGACCCTTCTCTGCAAGTCCAGCTTTTCATAGAAATTCTGAATAGATATATCTATTTTTATGAAAAGGAAAATGAGGCGGTGAGTGGAAATGCACTCTATTGCATTTTTTTAAGAGCATTTCTTGAAGCTCTTCATTCACACTTACACCCCAAATCATGTCTCTTCAACTTGCTCTGTAGTCCCTCATGAGAGACAAGTTCTGGTAATAACAAGAGAGTAGTCAATTCCTGATATACTAGTAAAATTGTGGATAAAACTTCATTCTACTTACATGGGGAAAAACAAATGTTTGCTGTTTAGTTATGATCTTAAATATTGTGAGTCTTGGATACCTGAAATGCGTATTAGATCAAAACTTACCAGGATGTAAATGAGAAAGTAGTAAGATTCTAACTTTTTAGATGTACCTGACTTGATATGTACCTAAGGGAAAGAAGAATCTTGCAGCTTTTCAAGGTCACTGCTGAGTGTGCCAGAAATGGTTGGTGTAAGCTTTTAATTTCAAGGTATAGGTACGAGTTGTTATGTACCAGCTTAAATTCTGTATCTGAAATCTGAGATAGTTGCCTCATACACTTTGTGTTAACAGATAACTAGTAAACTATCCAGTTTGGGAAAGCTGCCTGGTCAAGTAGGTGTCCCCATCCCATCTTGTGTCATCATTTCATCAAGAGCAAACATTATCGAATATCCTGTAGTTCTCAGAGAATGTCTGAAGAGATTTTAGGGATTTGCTGACTTCCCAGCAACTGAACTGGCTTCCTGCCATATTAGTGCTCTGGTGTAAGAGATGCTGGACCTGATGGAGGTGAAAATAGAACTTGGAATTGCAAAGCACGTGACAGATGTAAAAACAGTCTCGGGATGCAGCGGTGGTCTGCACTGTGTTTTGTGCTGTGGTGTCCTCTCTAGTGCTGGACTTAGTGCCAGAGGCAGCCATGCTTTCCTAGGTAATGACTCTGTCACTGGGAACAACGTTACATCTGATAATACCACCCTGACTGCCTTCTCCAAGAAACAGATGTTGGAGTACATAGACAAACTGGTTATGTGCTTTATTTTTCCAAAGCTTTTTTAAATTTGTACTGAACAAACTGGAGAGAAATGCTGTGGTGAAAGTTAAAAAGCTGTTGGGTTAATGACTTAAGTTATTCATATTTGCTGGGATGGGGGGCAATTTCTGCAAAACCCTGGAATCTGAATGATCCTGTGGGGAGCTAGAAAAGGCAGTCTCCAACAGTTTGTCGGCATACAGTCTTTATCAGTATTTCTGAGAACTGCCCAAATACCAACAGTTTAGAGATGTCTGTTAAAACTAACGTGTATGCGTTCATACGCAGGTCTTGTTGATGACGTCTGTTCTGTCTGCGTTCTCCCGCAGGTGACAATTCAGGTTTTGAATCAGCTTATACAGAAGATAAGAGAAGATCTCCCAAACCTTGAGTCTACTGAAGAAACAGAACAAATTAACAAACACTTTCACAACACACTGGAGCACTTGCGTCTGAGGAGGGAATCACCAGAATCTGAGGGGCCAATTTATGAAGGTCTTGTTCTTTAGGAAGATACACACTGTACTTACTTCGTTTCACTTACATACCGTATGTTGGTTTTTTTTTTTTTTTTAAGATAGATTCATAGGTTGTGCCTTTCGGAAATGTCGAGTTAAGTTAACATTCATGTGTTCAGTCTGGCACTTCAAACACTTGTGTTGAGTACTCTAACGAATTTGAAAGGTTGGACCAGCAACTGCAGGTTTCATCGGTTAGCATGGCTGAAACTTTGACACCCATGTGACATGGTAGGGCTCTTCCGGTTCTGATTTCTCTTCTGTCTGTTCAGTGTTGCTTCTGTAGCACTAGCATTCTAAACTGGCAGTGACTGTCACCTGAAGCTGTGTCTGATCCTTACAGAGCATCAGATTTTTGGGATTATTGTATGTCAGATTCTGCTTGTGCTTTTCTTTTAATGCAAGTTCAGACTAAGTGTAATATTTTTTCCCTAAAAACTAGAATATATTAATGCATGTTTGGAGAGTTTTAAAGTACCATGTTCAAAAACAGAAGTTATATTTTGCTTATTAAGGCTCTGTGACATTCAGCAAGGGCCAGTACTGTGCACAGGGCATATTTATCAAGATAATTTTGTTCCAAATAGTATAAAAATAGAGAAATTGCAATCTATATAGATATGTATAACCTTCATTACTGTAAATTTAGGGGAAAATGCATTACACAAGTTTATTCGGTATCATGATTTTGCACCAGTGAAACAATAAAGTTGCTATTAACACTCATTGTTTCATGTCTCTTCAGAGCCCGCTGTTGAACCCAGTGCTAATGTTGAACCTTCTGATAAAAGCAAAGGAACTTCTGTTTTGTAGGGAGAGAAAAATCAAGGCATAGTTAACCTGGACAAGCTGGGAGGCTGCTAGCATTCCTAATGTAGAAGCTTATCAATGAAAACCAGTATTTTTCAAAATGATGCTGAGGTTGCATGTGTTCACACTTCAGAATGCTTCTATGATGTATCTTGAGGGGGTGGTGGAGAATCCTACCAGATTCTAGTCTGTGCCAGAGACGAGTGGCAATTAAATGATAAAGCTGGGGGAAATTGAGCAGTAGAGCAATTGCTAATGGCAGCTCCTGTGGAGACTGGTCTGGCCTGGAGGTTAATGCCAGGTGTGATAACTTTAAAATGGTGTACCTGAACTGAATGTAATGTGCCAAAGTTAACTAACTGAACTTCCGTACTCCTTACGTTGACCACTGTTGTGAAAACTGTCCTGGCTTGATTGGACAGTGGATGAGACCTTGGTGGGAGTGTCCAATAATGTAGGGCTATGTGTTTCCTGGAAAAGGCAAATATGATCCTAGGGAACGAGAATTACGGAGTAGACGTGTAGATCATTGATCTACTGATGTACAAGTCTCCTTTGGAAGGGAGGAGGAGTAGGGAGATAATCTAATGGCTTTACTTGCCCAGTAAAATTTGGTATAATTGGTGGTATAATTATTGCTATTCAAAAATCTTAATGTTGCTCTGGATCCGTTGATGCTGTTCCTCTTGCACTGTAAAGCTGCTCGTTTTGTTAAAAGCATGTGTAGCAGAACACGGCCATGTTCATGTACGTACTCGTATCGCAGGGATGTGCCCCCCCAGTTTACATCAGTTGCTAACAGTGTTTTGTGTAATCCTCAAGGTCAGTCCTTGCTATGCAGGAATTGTCTTTGAATAATGGCTGTGCTGTTTCAGCGGCCGTTCCCCAAATGTTGTAGGCTAGTGCTTTTTCCCATGGCAAGGCTACAGAGTTACGACTCTTCCACAGTTCTTAATTACTTTTATTGAAACTTTACAAAGTCAATAATTTCAAAACTGTGCCTGTAACCTTTAAGCTCCACTGTACTAACATGCGCTTTGGCAGTGGCCAACTATGGCTGCTCCATAGCTATCACTCGCCAGCAAAGTGTCCCTTAAGCTCTGTAGAAGGTGCTTATGACGGTGGAAACAAACCCGTATCAGTAGTGATCTTCAAATCGACACTGCTTGTCGGAGAAGTCTAGTCAGAACTCTGGGTGAGCTTCTCGTGGGGCAGAGGCAGAATGGCAGAAACAGTGTGTCGCTCATTTTTCACACTCACGGTCAGTAGGGAGGCTGTACCTTTTAACAGACTTTGATTTACGCTGTTCATCGTGTGTAACTTGAAAGACATCTAAGCCCTTCAAGCACTGATGGCTTGATGGATGGATAGATCCAGTGGGCGGGGTAGGGGAAAACACCACTTTTTTCCCTTTCAGAACTAGTAGAAGTCTAATTAGAAATGTTTTAAAAATTACTCCAAGGGAAGTTTACCTGAAGTTCTGCCTATAGCAAGATCTGTCTGTCGTAATTTTCATAGACGAGTTATGCTTACTCTCTACTGAAAGTAAAACATAGTAATACCTGTCAGTCCTGTACGGGGTAGAAGTTAGACTTGAGTAGATGCCTGCGTGTGCAGGATCCTGGCAGAGGGCAGGAAGTCATAGCTGAGGTAGGAATCTCATGGTAAAACTCTTCCAGTGTACAAACTCTCAGTTCTCAAATGCCCTATCACAAAGCTCAAATACCTTTTATATTCCAGTCCCTGAACTTAATTCTACTAAAAATTCCATTCTGTTATTTCTCAATCACCTTTTCCACTCAAATCAGTGCTCCCTTACCTGCCACAGTTGCTACAGCTCCTCTGGTAACCTGGAAGTTCTGGTGCCGCTTGTCCCGTGCTTTTCCTGGATGCCAGTACTTAGTTTCTTGCATTAGTCATGATCTTGTCTGGCTTGCCACTAGGTGTGGGGCGAAAGCGTATTACGCTTAACAGCTGAGACCCCTGGCAACTTAGGGTGGGTTTGGGGGTAAAATATAACAGGTCCAAGGTTAACACTTTAGGAAATTCCTTACCAGCAACATTTACAGTTATTAAAAAAAGTGAGAGAGCCTGATGAACTCTAATTATTGACCATGAAAGTTGTATCCCTTTTTGGCACTTTAACGTTAGTTACCATTACCAGAAAATGGTACCATGCCGCTGGCCTCATTTCTCCAAGAGCTTTGAGGAATTACCTTTCTTTTCACTGCAGTGACCTCTCCAGCGCCAAGGAGGACTATTTCTATACATTCCTAGACATCTACACTTGTAGCTACTTCTCAGTATTCCATAAACTACCCAGTGCACATTGCACTTCATACTTGCAGGTGAATGTTAGCTAGTTGATGCTCCCAGCTGAAAGCAAATGCTCTGTGTGTCAGCCTTCTTCACGTTTTATTTTTCACATAAAAATATGAGGATGAATTTTGGCTTTTCCTGGGCACAAGAGTTTCATAAAAGCTTTCCTAAAGCTCATGTGACACAGGGGGTATAGAACAGGGTTAATGGCTGAGTTCACCCACAGAAGCCAAAATGAAATCTCATAGAGCGAATACTGCACACAGTGCCCGTGGCAAGCTGCTCTGATGATCATCAAAAGTGTATATGGAGCCCAGCACAAACCAAACACACAGACAATAATTGCTAAAGACTTTGCTACTCTTTTATCCCGGGAAAGCCTAAATCTATTTGCCACAGTATTAGCGATGTCCACTCTGCTGGCGGCATTGCATACGCTTTCTGTAGATTTGTAGAAGGCATTCCTATGCGGCTTGGTCTCCACTTCCACCTGGAGTGGTGGAAGGTCTTGACCGACATTCAAATTTAATGACTGATTGTCTAGCTTACATTGGTTGAGCGTTGATGCCTTTTTTGAGGGAGAAAGGCTGCTTGCTCGCTTCTCGTGTTTGTGTCTGTTAGTAGGTTTAACAAAAAATATAGTGTGTTCCCTTTTTTTCCCCTGGAAACTCATTTCACAGTCCTCTTGACCAGGTGATAGGTTCTCGTTTCTGAGATGGGTGCGTTTCCTGATGTTGAGGTAAATACTTAAGTTAAAGTATGTAACGGTGATGAAAGGCGTAAAGAATTCAATAGTAGAGGCAATCATTAGGAAATACCAGTTGTAGAAAAATTCTGCATGACATTCTCCTTCGGGGACGATGCTCTTTTGGGCAATGTGCTCCCAGCTGAGAATGGCTGGACCATAGAGGAGAAAAGCAGCAATCCATACAGTGATCATCTTCAGTACTGCATTTCTGGTCATCCCTTTATGAGCCCTGTAACTGACCTGCAGGAGAGGAAAGATGTCACATACGTTACTAGTGTGTCACACAGTTGCATGGCTACCTTGGAATGTGACCCCCTGTCACTTGTCAGGGTTAATAATATGTTGGTTATGGAATGAGGGTTATACCAAGCTTACCACTACCACAGAAAAGCTATTTCTGAAACATCCATTCCAACACACATTATCAAGTTGACCGGATATGTTCTGAGAGCGTTGATTGGATCTTAAAAGCTAGAAAACCGAGGCTTTTCCTGAGCAAACAACCACCACTACTCCTACGGTTAGTTGCTGCCAGTTACTTACATACTCAATAGCATTAGCGGTGACACTCGTTTACAGAATATCTAAAAACATGTCCCTTCAAAATTCACTTATTTACAATATTAAAATAATTTAAAATACATAAGAGGATCTGAATTCATAGCACACCCCTGCAAGTTCTTTTCTTTATGCTTTGTGGGGAGTGCCTTTTTCTCAATGGGAAAATCACACCCCAAAAAATTGAAGCTTTGGCTTCTGCTTGATATCCTTAATTTCATTCTTCTATGAAGTACTTGGAAAACTCTTATCTGCAATTGAGATGTTTAGGTGGAATGTTGTGGTCTGCAAAGTGCTTTACAGGAAGAGTAACTGATCTCCCTCATCTAGAAAACAGAGAAGCTAAGGTGCAAAACAAATGTGGGTGTGTCAGTAATATGGAGTCAGTAAACTGTATCAGCAGTAGAATTCAGCAGAACCTTAAAATTAACATCTGCTTGACAATATTCTTACTCCCTGGTGTACTGGACAGTATTCTCATAGTGAACTGGAATTTAATCTTCACATCTCTACAGTAGCCACTTTAGGAATATGAAGTCCTCAAGCTTGAATCCTGTATAGGATTTGTCCTTACTGCCCTAGTCTGTGGATCTTCATCTCCAAAGCCAATGCTGTTCTGGTAGAATACCCACAGTGCTGAGGAATCCTGACTTGGCCTGAATTTGGTCTGATTTTACAATCTGTGACAAAGTTACTAATGATTTCAGGAGTAGTCTTGTAGGAAGGTTACCATTTTCATTGAGATAGAGAATAATTTAGAATGTTGTATATTCCTGTTTGTATGTTCTTAGACTGCCTTAACCCAACAGGCAGCTTCTGTACTCTTGTTTGGGGAGGGACTTTTATATGGAGGATCAATTTGAAGTATTTTGAAGTGGCTGATTTTTTTTCATTTATTATGACCAGTTTCCCTTTCTGTTTCTGAAACCATCCAGTCTATATATTTATATCATGTGTATAGCCATGAGTTTTGGTTTATGAAAGCAAAATTCATGGCTAATTCAGAACCTAGAAAATAAAGGAATTCTACGTGTCGACTGTTTAAGAATTGATGTGTTTATTTCTCCCTCTGAAAAAAGAACTTGATAAAACATGAAGTTGCATATAAACTGTTAAAGTGATCTTGCAGCTTCTCTTTGCACTGTTTGCCTAAAAAGTACCGTTGCCTCTCAGTGTGATTTAGAGTGAGCAGTGAAGCCAAGTTAATGTTTTAAGGAAATGCGGGTGCCACAGGGGGCTGAAGAATAACCAAAAAGTGTGTGTGGAAGAGTGAAACCTATTAGCAGGTAAAACGTGTTAGTTCAGCACCACCCAAAATACTTGGAGGCAGTATGGTCCTGGGTGGAAATGAAGTTAGCTTTTGGGTTTGCAAAGTCTGATCTGCTCCTTTTTCACTAACTGACGTCGCTGAGGCGACGCTCTCGCCATTTCTGTGGCTGTTACGTGGAAATAGCATTTTCCGCCTGTGCGAGATGTTACGCCGGTTTTGGACCACACGCAGCTGTATACATCTGTTGCTCCCCGGGACTCTGGTCCCCGTTGCGAGGAGCTCTCTGCCTGGTGCTGCAGCTAGTCTGGCGTGGGCCGTCAGTTGTCGGAAAGGTGCACTGTTGTGTTCCGATGGTCTTTTTCAGCCCTGGGATACCTTTTAAGCTTATCCAAGGTGTAGCTGGGGAGGAAGTTAAGTACACCTTGTTCCCTCTGCCCTTCTACCTGGAAAAGCGGCAGATACAAACTGTGTGTTGCTTCTAAAGCAGAGTACCTTTCAAGGCCAGGCTGGATGAGGCTTGGAGCAACCTGGTCTAGTGGAAGGTGTCCCTGCCCATGGCAGGGGGTTGGAACTGGATGGTCTTTAAGGTCCCTTCCAACCCAAACCATTCTGGGATTCTGTGATTCTACCTCTGCCACGGCAGAAGTGAGAAGCAAATAAATGTCTTTTCTGCCAAAGCTGTTGGAGCCCAGAACTATTCCCAGGACCGCGGGGAACTGCCTGGATACCCCCGTCTCCTGGGGTTTTTGTGGGAGGCTGAGAGCCGGCCCTGCGCACCCCCTCCTGCCCCAGAGGGCAGCCTCGGAGCCCCCGCAGCGCGCTCGGGACCGCGCGCCCAGCCCTTACCGCCTGGGTGACAGAGATGAACCTGTCGAAGCTGATCAGGACGATGTTGAAGACGGAGGCGGTGCACAC